TTCCCTAGCAACTCGCCAAATGCCCCCATACGAAAAAGGCGTCTCAAACAGTTTCTGCTGAGGAAGCCCTACTCACTGCCCTCTCGGGCGGCGGAGATGGATTTCCACCAAACTGAGAGGACGAATAGCCGATATCCGGGTTGGTGGACCACTGGTAGTTCACCTAGGGGAGCTAACCAAAAACCCTCATTCCAAACCAACCAGGAGGTGCACGAACAACACACCTTCCCGGTTGTGGTACTGGTCACCGGCTCAAGGATGAGAATTCCTCAAGAAAATTCCATCACCTTGGCCTGGGCAACCTGGCAGTATTCAGTCCACATGCGAATCACGGAACGGTTTTCTTTTTATAAAGATTATTGCACCATATATATAATTCATAGCTTTGAATGGACTTTGTAAACCGAGTAGTGTAGTTACACATCTGCCCATTTCTGGTGGGGCATCTCCAGGACGAATTCACACCAGATGTTGTAATAAAGCAATTTCTTAACTTGACTCAAACTGTTCACAACGGGTCTTGGTGATCTGGAATCAACATGGATTTAGCTCCGATGGATTTTTCTGACACAATGAAAGCAGGCCACAGATTGCTGCATTTTCTCAGTGCACGGAACCGTCTAAAAATAACGACCTGTTTTTCACCACTCGATTGTCTACACAGAATGGTACAAAATATGTCCGTTATACGCGCCAGAGGGGTGAACATTGGGACACACGCAGTTCGTGAGCGAGGACAGCTTTGGGCTAGACTGAAACTTTGGCGAACATATCAAAAGAAGTGAAAGGATGATGACTCACGGGTCCAAGTGCAGTTCAACTTCACCGGTCTCTGTGTTCTGTTGAGGTGAGAAATCTAGCCCGAGGTTCAACAACAAATCAACAAGACCGGCCAAGTTGATCTTCTCCTGTTGACTGTACAACTGCGCATTCAGTGGTCGTAAACTGGATGTCATTAGCGAGAGTAACGATAGAGTAGGTGGAGCGACGTCCAGTAGAAATCGTCTGCGGGGTAATAATCTGGAGGGGGAGACGGGGGAGGATATTGAAAACAATGATAAAACAGAGTGTGAAGAATGGGATTTATGCTGTTGATTATCTAATCTTTCATGGGATGAGAATAAATGCAGACTATCAGTGTTTGAACGCTAGTATTTGGGCTACATTACGTGAGTCTGATGGACCGACTGAGGTTAGGAGCAAATTTCTAGGTTCCACATTGCGACAAGTAGTTGACCTCTGAAGATTGCCAACTGGATTTGTTGGCGAACGATGTTTGCCTAAACAAACCAGAAATAGTTGGAAGAAAGCCAGGGGTGATGAAATTGTGATCATATAGACCGCTTCTGATGGTAAGAAAAAAGACTATTTATTTTACATAAAACTGCCTATTTTTTGAGTATTTTCAAATTGTGTGGAGCCTTTTTTTGGACCTAATCGTCCGACCCCAGATGGCGTTCGCTAATTGGGTAGTCCTGTAAATTTTCTCATTTTTACATCAATTTTCAAGGTCTCTATGTCCGAAGATCAGAAGCAGATGAGTTCACACTGTAATTTCGATTTGCTCTCGTTGCGTCGATTATACGTTCTTTGTTCATTGTCTGTGTTGTTTCTCACGTAGCTAGGAGAAAGCTACTAGTGCTCGTGATGTCCAATCTGTGCTGTGATTGTACTTGTGGGGCTAGACGATTAGTGTGGCCGTTGAGGTACGTGCTCCGTAGTATTCGGACCTACCTCGCACCTCTGTGTGTGTTCGCGCTCTGTGATATCGTGCACATCGTCTGTGAGTATCCAATCTGTGTTCTCGTCCGCTGTCAGTAGTGAGTGCCACTGTCATTGTGTTGTGCTGTACTCCATCGACCTCCTTCTCGGGTATACTGTGTCTGATGCCATCCGGTGTTAATGGTGTCAGCGTGTGTTATCCTTGTAAGTGATCGTGAACGATACAACATTAGACTTCCCAGTTGACACTCAACTTCACTACAAACTTAATTCAAGTGCCTTTTGTATTATTATCATGGTACTCTGCTCTCCCAGGGTTCTACTTTTTTTGTCCACTCATCCATCATTTGTTGACTAAACAGTCGAGCGAAAAACAACGAAAGTGAAAGGTTAAAGGTACAAACGGAACAGGTATCAGTCTTCAGGCGCTTTAGGAGTGTAATTCGGCAATACGCAGTGATTGCATTCGGATGACACGCATTCAGTGTAGCTGTTGTCAAATGAATGAAGCTAACTGGAATAAAAGAACGAGTGTAAAACCTATTCAAACGGGGGAAGATAAATCTGAACTAATGACAAAACTTACCGAAAAGAACTGGTAGTCTGTTTTAGCGCTTCACTCGTAGCCAAACTTGGGGCAGCCCACTGATTTGCAAGCAACTGATCCAAAATAGCCGTACACTGTTGTTGTTTCGTGCTGGCTTCCTTATGTGCAGTAGGCCAATGCAAACCCCAACCAGCGCCGGATTTCCCCGAACTCGAATTGGTGAGCCCCGTTGGGGTGGCCAAAGCCAAATGGAACCATGCAGGCAGATAGGAAGCGTAGCGCAACAGACTATAGTCCGCGTGGGAATGGATACGTCGAAACAGGAGATCATGATGCATAAACCAATGCGATGCCTGTTTCGCCTTTAAAACATCAGGGGAAATGCGAAAATTGACGTCACGAATGTGCGTACATACAATCGAGAACGTAGCCCAAGCGATGGTGTTAGATACAGTGCTATTGTCTAGCATCGCTCTAAAAACTAACTTGTTTGTTTGTTATTCAGTAAAAGAGAATGGACACGATCGACAGTTTGAAAATAAGCGGAGCCCCACGAAAGTGTGATATAAAGCTACTGATGGCTTCGTGGAGACCTCAGAAAAAAAAATGAAACCGGATAAGGTCTCTAGTAAACTGTCTTCCTCGATTCCTGTTCTAAATTAGTCACTTGTAACTTAAGGGGACTGCACATCACCTATCTAAACCATCAAAATGATTAGGACTGAAACTTAGGAAGCCGTTGTTTACTCAACCACAGGAGGAAAAGCTAATGTACGTGAAATCTGTCAAATTGGCTACCGAGTAGTAACCATATGTAGCTCCTGTATAACTTTGTAAAACTGTATGCTGTTAGTCACGTCATTCGTGTTAGGAAACGTCGCGGATAAAAGTGAACCTGTACCGTCACAGTTTCTGTTCAACAGCCAGTCTGCCATAGTTTGCTTGTTTCAATGTCACTCTTGATTTGATCAACCAAACTGATGAAACGCCAGATAGACTTTTGAAGTACTGCTCTAGCTTATCGTTCATCAACTCGTGCATACATCTGTGCGCGGTGGAAATTCGTTTGAGCCGTTCTTCAACTGAGTATGAAATACAAATATGCTCTTATCGACATTGTTTGAATATGATGCCATGGATAGGACAGTTGTTTGTGGATTAGCACAGGTTTCGACCGATCTGTCGTTCCAGTATACGGAATTCAGTTATGTTCAACCACTGACGAAGTGCACTTTCGTGCACCGGTTTTGGTCGCTGTCTCACAACTGCCTGTATGGAAAGGGGAATTCGGATTCATTGATTGAAAAACAAATTGTCTGCATCACATCATTGTTTCTGCTAGCCAGGCGAGACAATATAATCGCCAGGGTTCATCATTACAAATGTCCAAAGTTGGTGATATGCTGAGTAAGAACCGATAAGATTCGATTGGAAAAGCGCTGCATTGGCACACAGTGTCGGTTTACGGGGGAAATTATTCCTTCTCGAGTATGCCAACGGTATCATCGTGGCTTACGGGTGTGTAGGCCAAGCGAATAATACGGAACCACTATGCAATCGGAGTAAACCGTAATCAGTGGAACGTGATCCACACGTTCCAGGGGCCAAGGTAGCAATTTAAATAACCAAAACAAAAGGCATCTGCGGAACTGTCACAATATCGAAATGTTTAAACGGTTGAACGAGTATTCTACCGTACGGATCCGAAGTCAAGCGCTTATTTGTGAAGGAAACTTGTCCGCTTTCGAGAGTCACACTGTCTTTGGAGCACTGTCCATGGTTGTGAGCACAAATTACATATGAAGACAAATATTGAAAAATAAGTATTCTTTGTTTCACCGAGGCAATCACGTGACATGGCCTCTGCATACCTCTACCCGCTGACATTCGAATCGAGCGCTATTCGAGAGTAAGGGCTTTAAAGAAAAAACGCCGCGATCATTGACCTTGCCCAGCTTTTACCACTAATCTGATTAGGACCCAAATTATTTAGAATGCTACTATCTCTAATAACCACTGTCTAGAATCAAAACCAGGGGAGTTCCATATGAAGATTTATCGGCAACAGTACTGCACTCTTCACTGGCAATCAGTCTGACTGCAGTAGAAAAAAATACCCGTTTGTGTGTTAGCCGTGTGTGCAGTAGCACTAGGGTGGGAAGGGGGTGAAATACAGGTATAAAACCCCAGTTTGAAAATATAGATAAAGAAAAAACCTAAAACATCTGTCCAGACAGGTCAGGAAAAGTCAGCTTTGAAAGCATCACTCGTTACGTATCCATTGTTTAATTTATGAATACCAATGGTTTCATGCATTTTCGTTCTACATAAATAAATAACCAACAAAGTGACAAACCGGTTGTACGTAGTCGATTATCAATGGATTTTCGAACAAGTTTTATTTATCTAATCTTGCACCCAGAATTATTCAAGGGTTGTTCACGTACACTGTTCGATTATTGGGACATCTCTGTGGGTTTTGAACAATAGAAGATGAACCAGCGGTAGATGACCTCCAGATACTACTTCCACTTTGAACTAATTCAGTTCCAAAGCAACAGTCTAAACAGACTTTTAAGACAAATAAAACGCCTGCTTGAAGATGCTAGCTAGATATTGTACCTCAAGACAGTGGTTTTGTCAGGCATATATCGTTTTTCATGAGCAATTAATCACAGACATCGCAATTCTGGAAGTTTTTTTCCAATGAGAGCAAAGAGTAAAACGCACAAACGAGGTTACCCAAAAGTATATATGCATGTGTACCGTAATTGTCAGACCAGCTTTCAGTTTGCACAACCATTAACCATTCACTTTTGTGGCCTGTTCTGGCTGCTGTCACATGACTGCTCACCTGGATAAAAGAGCGAAACGAAGATTGGAAATTTGCAAGTAGAGTCGCAGAGGAGATGGAGAGCTTCAGTAGACGAGGGTTGTAAATGAATGGAGAAGATGCACGAACGCCACTGTTTACGACACTAAGCCGTATCACTCGATGTCTTTAACCATTGATTACAATGTACCCGAGGTTCTTGTCCAGGGAGCCTAACGCGACCTACATGACCGAGTCTCCTGGTTTTCATACCCTCATGTCAGGTCGTATTTTGACCACCTTTGGCTTTTACCGCCCGCTATCTGCCTCGGCAAGCGTTGTGCGCCGTGGCACAGAAATTGTAAAAAACCGCAATACATGCTCCAATGAACGCAATCTATGAAGNGGAGCGACCGCGGTTACTTAACCGCAGCATTCTTCGTCCGGTAGCCCCGCCAGAGTCGTGCAATGCTGCAAAGACAGCATTGTTCGAACACCGACCATTTATCCTCATCCTGTTTTCGTAATGATCAGGTTTCTATGCCGTATAGCAGGATCGGTCGAACTGCGGCAGAATACGCACGACCTATCACGGACAGCCGGATTTCACCACAGATGGCGGAGGCCAACCGAACCCCGTGTATGCGAACGACACTTCATCCACGATGTGTGCGACGTGAAATATAGCTGCCCAAATAACAAAACTGGTCCATTCGTTCTGTTACTCCCACAGTTAAAGTGAGGCTGGGCCAACACAGCCTCGTCAGGTAGCATGAATTTAAGAGTTACACCAATTACTACGAACAGTGCAGCCTTCTAAGGTGACCATTTTTTGAAGAAGTTCAGGATAAAACGAACAAGTGCAAAAAAGAGAGAAACTGAATATCATAGCGTGTCCAGTGTATAATTTTGTGCATTCCGAGGATGTCGCATTGAACGAGTTTTAGTACAGTTTGAACGATGTGAATTTGGTGTGTGTGTGTGCACAAACACAGATATCGGATGACAGCGACGGGAACCCTCAGGTACAGAAACGGGACGGGCTCCATTTCGCACTTAAAATCTTACAAAACAACCCCATTTAGAGCAAACAATCACAGTAACATACCTATCAAGTGTACATCTATCCATTCCGACGTATACTTACTATATTCAGACTGGAATCTTTCATGCGGCAGTTTAAATAGTTTTCAAAAATCCCCATAGTCATTGGTTGCACGTCACCGGCCGAATCCACGATTTCCATTAAATAATCCAATCTGTTCAATGTGAATTGGAATTTGTGAAAATGAAGCCCGGTGGGAATGGTGTTGTGTCACAAGAGAACAGAAAGCGGATAATACAAAAGCATGAATGATTCGGATTCTGGTCCACGGAAATAAATTATTTCGCTCATCAAAAAAAGCAGTTAACAAAACAGAATTTCCATAGAGATAAGTGCTATTTTACCCAAAAAATCATCGTACATTGGCTCAATTAAATAGCAGCGAGTGAACACGGATATTCACCGAAAAAGAAGGAATTCTCGTTTGCATAGGTTTAACAGCGTTGGTTGATTGGGAGGACAAAAGCTTTGATTAGTGAAAATCCCAGCAGCCTCCGCCGGATTCGAATCCACGTATAGACATGGTCTACGGTTTTGTACAACACATACGCACACATACATACGATACCAGTTGAGCTACGAGGCCATATAGGGATTCATAACACGAGACAATAATTCAGTCAAACAACATGATGAAAACATCTGTCAGAAAAGAACACACTACCTTGAATGAGTAAGACAATCAAGAACAGTGTTACTTACGCCCTTACAATTAAAAACAAAAATTCCAGATCGTTTTGTCTTTCGCGCCTCTGAAAGCCTCAGTATGGTCGGGGGTGGTTGTCTAGGGTGACGGAATGCTCCCATACGATCAAGCGTTTCTAATAGCCTCTGCTGAGGAAGCCCTGCTCACTACCTTTTCGTGGCGGAGGTGTTTTCCCACCAAAGTGAGAGGACGAAAAGCCGACATCAGGGGCTATAACCGGGTTAGCGAACCATTGGCAGTTCACCTGAGGGAGTTGGCTAAAAACAATGATTCCGAACCAACCAAAAGGAGGCGTAAAAACTACACCCACACCTACCTGGTTGTGGCAATGGTCACCGGCTCGATTGGGCATCAAGGTGTATTGGGCACCTTGGACGTTTGACCCCGTTGAAGGGCGTATGATCCGATGAACTGGACACCAGTTCCCAATGGACTTCGGTTTTCACACACTGCTCCGGTGCATGGAGGGTCAGGCTTTAGCTAGCCGAAGGCTCTAGTTCTGTACTCTCTATGAAAACTCACCTGTTTTACCTCTGCAACCTAACGATATGATACCCTTTAGAGAAATTTCGTCCGGTCATTCATACAGTTCTTATTACAAATCACTGAAAATCGGCTCTAGCATGCAGTTGGATGAGGTTAGACGCATATAACCCACAACACCCGACAAAGAATCATAGCCACGAAACTCACAGACTTGTTTATCTCAGATCCATTCCTCGAGCTGCATATGAGAATTGCGTTGCATAATTCACATAGGGAGATGAAGTATAAGAATGTCCAGACAGTCCAATGGCGAACATTTATACCTGACGGCGCCAAGGTTCGCGAANGGTCATATGAATATATATATATATATATATATATCCGCCGGTGACTGCCGACGCTCACACCCGACCTGAATGTCACACCCAATCCACCATCTATCTGGAAAGGCCCTTCTAGCTAGGGGGTGCGAACAATCGCTTCTTTTAGCGACCCGCGTGGTCTTTCGGCGAAAGAATTTTGAACAGCCACTGAGCGTACACCGTCGGCAAACTCATGAAGGAGCATCAGTTCTCGGGATGCGGCTTCACATTCGGGGAAAGCCAGCGCAGATAATTTTTGTACTTCTGCTGCGAACCGCTGGGCCGTCTCGTTGGGTAGCTGTGTCTGATAATGTAAGACACCCCGGTCTTGTTTCTTCCGCCAGTACGGGACCACGATGAACCGCATTGTGACAAACTTTTCGTCTGAGACGTCTTTTAGCAATTCTTGGTGGATCTGGTCAAACACTGTTTCATCCACCAGGTATAGCACTATATATTGTTGTGTGGATGGCTCCCACATTCGGACGCATCGTCATGCTCGAGATTCCCACCGGTCGTAGTCGTCGCCAATTTGGAATCTTTTATGCGAAGGGGGGAATCTGTTGCTCATCCATGTTGTCCGTTGCCACGCGTAATGCCGACAGGGCCTCCCAGCAGCAGGTACACTCGGGACAACAACTTTGGGCGGCGAATAAAACTAAGATACCGACATCAGGCTCCACCATAGTAACTTTTCGAATAGGTAACTTAGAATACTTGTGTTCACTTTCATGAAATAGGAATCATTCACTAGGAAGAATGAATTTCCATTATGGTTTGCATAAAACATTTTCCAAATCTGAGCTGTAATTTGCGAACTACTAGAAATTTTATCTTGACACTCAAGGTCGCGCAATTTCAAACGGTGATGAAAGAGAACTAATAACATAGAAATGAGAGATAAAGTACGGAATAAATGCACTTTAC